ACGATTGCGGAAATATGATCTTTCCACATTTTTTGAACTTCAGCATCAGAATTGCCAGTTCAGGATAAGCACTCTAGAAGAACGCAATCGCAATAATAGGCTGCTTTCAAAAGACTCAGGCTTTGTCCTTACCGGTCGCATTGTAACAACTTACAGAGTAAATTTCAACTTTGCTTTTAGATCGATATTAGCTTTGCTAATAACTCAATCTAATAGCGGTGAAGCCGCACGATTCTTTCTCCATTTTTTTTGGCGAGATGTTTATTTTTGCAATTAGGCAACAACGTCCATTTACCAGATCCTTCAGCTCACTCAAACAATATCACGCAAAAGTTCCAATCCCACGGCTACCAAGATCCACCGTTCTTAGGTCCCTTAAACTTTGATGTCCTTATCCGGTCTATTATTACTCCTCAAGTCTTTTCAAGCTGGACAGATCTAGGGTTCTAGAGAGTTTGGAATCATTTTAGTACGTTGTATCTAGTAAATTGTATAGTATTACCCTAATTGTTCACAGGGTTAGTAGTGCTAGAAGCCGTGAATATGCTTGAATAGTTCTATTATAGCTACCTTGAAGCCGACAAGTTAGGATTCCGACAGCGGCCTGTCCGGCTTTCAAAAAACCTGAGTAGCAATGCCAGGTTTCAAATATGAAGGAGCTGTCGGCCTTGGAGAACTTCGCCTTCTTCGACTCCTCAAAGGCGATCAAGACCAGATCGAATGTGAGCTTTTCGAGTCAAAGCTTGCAACAGATCAGATCCCAAAGTATGCAGCAGTATCTTACACATGGGGATCCGGATCCACGCCATGCGATATCGTCACGAACGGGATAGAAATCGAAGTCATCACGCACGTATATCTTGCTCTCCAGAACCTTCGTCTTCAAAAGGAAGATAGACTTCTTTGGATTGACGCTCTTTGCATCAACCAACGCGACGAAGAGGAAAAGAGTCATCAAGTCCAGCAGATGGGCTCGATTTATGCCAGAGCTGAAAGAGTTATAATTTTCTTGGGTCAATCTACTTATGAGACGGACTATTTTATGCAATACGCGCAGTAATTGGGAAGAGAGACCATGAAATATGCTTCCCACAACAAGGAGATTTCAAACAGTCAGTGGATGAATGTTTGGACACTCGCAACACAGGATCTGCGGGAGAATCAGCGAGAGTTTCTCACCAACGGGTTACGGTTACTCCTTTGTCGGGACTGGTTCCGGAGAGTCTGGGTCCTACAAGAGACCGCTAATGCGCGTGTTGCCGCAGTCATGTGCCGTAGCCAACCAGTATTGGCAAGCATCTTTGCCCGAATCCTAAGCTTACTTGAGTTTGACCCAGATCCGCACTGCAAGTCTGTTTTGGAGATCATGCCAGGTCCCCTCCGGCATTGTTCCTGGTGGACTGAAAAGCGAAATCTTTACACATAACTGGACAAATTCCGTGGTAGTGAGGCGACCATACCTCAAGACAAGATATACGCCTTAACAGGTATAGCTTCCGACGCAGACGATCCGTACTTCCCACAGGTCAATTACAAGGACAGTATTCAAGATGTCGTCTTCAAAACATCCTTGTTTTTACTCAAGTTACACGAGTTGCCATCTCACGTCGATCGTTTCTTCGATTGGACGCTGCCAGATTTTCTACACAAATTGAAAAATCTCGCCAATGAAGTCCTTTTGTGCGCGGCGAATACTGGGCAAGGGGCGGTTGTCTGGCTGTTGCTCAAGAGTGAGATTGATACTGAGTGGAGAGGTGAAGACCCGCAAACATCGCTGTCGACGGCATCAAAGAAGGGGCATGTGGCAGTTGTCAAATTATTGCTCGAGGCTAAAGCCAATCTTGAGTCGAGGGATCTGTCTGGTCGCACACCGCTACTGGTGGCTGCGAGGAACGGGCACCAAGAGGTTGTGAAGCTCTTGCTCGAAGCCGGAGCCGATATCGAGCCGAAAGGTGAATACGATGATTTTGGTCAAACGGCGCTGACACTCGCTGCTCACGGCGGACGCGAAGAAGTCGTCAAGATGCTGCTTGAGACCAAAGCAAATATCGAAGCTAGACATACATGCTATGGTGAAACATCGCTATTATTAGCTGCCAAGTGTGGGCGTGCGGCAATTGTGAAGCTACTGCTCAAGGCGAAGGCCAATACCGAGGCGAGAGATACACACTTTGGCCTAACGCCTCTGCTCTCAGCTGTGGCGTTTGGGTATGCGCCAATTGTTAGGTTGCTGGTCGAGGCCAACGCGGATATCGAGGCGAGGGACAATAATGAGCTTACGCCCTTGATGTTTGCTGCGGAGCTTGGGAATGAAGCCGCTGTCAGGCTACTGCTCGAGGCCAATGCGGACATCAAGGCGGAGTGCATTGATGGCCGAACACCTCTGATGTTGGCTACATCATTTAAGCATGAAGCGGTTGTTCAATTGCTTCGTCGCCACCAGAGTCTATCATGAGAGTCATTCCGTGGGATCGTAAAAGTTTGCACGAAAAGAACACACAAGAGCGGGCTGCTTGTTGCCACTGATGATTGAGCGGCTCAAGCAGTTACAACGAGGTTGAATATCTTTATAGGTAATGCCGTCGTCTATGTTCTCATCTGTGGAGTGGAAGTACTCGATCAGGACCGCGCTTTTGGTCTTTAGCACTATCAATGGTGGGATCCTCATTTCGCACGAGCTGCAACGTTCAATTGTTTTCCAGAGTCCAACACCACTTCCTTTAACATTTGAAGACACAAACTGTTGTTCTTTATACTTTCCTCTTTCTCAGGCACAATCCTGCCGCAATCTCAACGGTATGCATACATACCAGATATATTCAGCAACTCGCCATGGCGAAACTATTCCTATCAAATATGAATACGACTTCCTTGCAGATTGCACGCATCCGCATCCGCATCCGCATCCGCCATCTCCTACTCCTCTCGTTTTTTGAAAGGCGGATACGTTAATGCCGGATTTCCGACCTATAACTATTAGATTAGCTATATCAAAATGAAATAATTATACTCAAAACTTCTAGTACTACTTGCTTTTCTACACCCAGAGTATATAGGGATACCGTATCAATTTTGATACAGTGAAGCGATTTGCAGCACCCCGACCGGCTTGCAAAAAACGTCAAGAGTAGGTTGCTTTTTACATCAAACGCTACTATCCAGTCGACGATTGTAGTCATCGGAAAGTACATATCAAGGCCCAATTACGCGCCATGATGCACGAATCCCATAGTCAACACACAATTATTGCTGCGGCGACAGATCCTCAAATTGGGCTGAATGAACTCGATCCGTCTCCATCATAGCCGTACTAGTTTCCGATCTGGTCTTCCGCGATCCAATCACACGAGTTGGAGCTCAATTGGTGTATGGTTGTTGGCCGATTTTGTGGATCAGTGTTTGCTCTGAATGATCTTCTGCAGCAGCTTTGTCCAAAAATCACGATTCTTACTACTATTGGAGAGAAAAAGACGGTGTCTTGAAACGTGACAAGAAAAGGGGCAGACTTCTTAGTAAAGACGCATTCATACCAAGCTGGGATGGTGAGTGTGTTCGTGCAGTAATCGGATATAGCACTATGATACGTATAGTGTGTATGCTGGGAAGCTAGTATTTGACGTATGTGACCGAAAAGAGCATAGAAGAGGAAGTCCGGGATCTTGGATATGAATGTCCGAGTATGTAGTAGATTTAATACAAAGGATGTAGCAAATAAGTTTGAAAATTTCCTCCATTTCGCTATAGCAAGGCTGAATTCTTTCGTTGTTTAGTTTGGCTCTCCTGAGAACATGTAAAACGCATATAAGGATCCACAACCCGACTCTGAAGATGCTTGTATTTCCGGAATCCCGGTTAGGTAGATCTCGCATCTCTGAGGGATTCGATGCTGTGTCGGCCTGAATAATATGCCTGTATTGCAAATCCATATATGGCGATATTCCTGGGTGTACCTTGCTCTTTTTTGGCGGTGTCAAAAATGAAGAAGTCGACATGCGAGTAGTAGGGTATTTCTTGGATCTACCTTGACATGAGAAGAAATGCCATGCTTGAAATTTTCCTTTAGTAGTACAATTAATGAGGTAGTCAGTAAGGCAATCATTTAGTGATTTTGTCAGCGTGGAAAATAGGATAACCTAACGACATCGTAGTGCAGGATAGCGCAGAGATACTCCTCGTGTCGTTTTGAAAGCGGGATAGAGCCCAGGATTTTCGAGTGTCTGAATCCGTATATCTATAATAATATTTGTTCAGTGTACTTACGTTTATTTATAATAAATATAATAATTAGAGCCGGGAGTCGTTAGTATACTGCTTTAGTTTTATAATAGTTTAAAAAATAATCGTCTGGTATTGTTCCGGCGATAGGCCCTCCGGCTTTCAAAAAAACCTAGAAAGTACCTGGTCTGCAATTCCTAGTCGAGAGTCGAATGAAGATGTGATAGCGCTAGCTTTCTGACGAAAGCAGTTGACTTGGTAAGGAAATTGCAAGGCCTTTGAAGGTATAGTAATAAGGCACATTGGCATGCTCCCTAGGGACATTGAAAGCGGTTTTACAATTGCAGGAGAGGTGCATATGATTGGAAGAAGAACCGCCTGGGATTGGTCAGTGCGATACACTTGATGCTAAGCCGCTTTAAGCACTAGCCTTCGCATCACGGTGAAAAAAGTATATCCTAGCGGGCAAGCCCTATCTACATTAGAGACTAATACTATTACTACTTATTAGGGGAGACTGGTACCTAAATACCAAAAAAAAAATTAGTACTCTACTTTAAATATTTGTTATACAGCCTATTTATTACTTTTAAGGCTTTTCTTTAAAGCTCTAATATGCTCCTCAGATATAGAAATCGATACTTGCAAAAATTAAAACCAAAATGTAAAAGGAAAATGTAGGGCTCCACCCCGATTCGAACGCTAGAAATTGGGTTAGTTATTATCATCCTAAGTATTCGGAGCAAAAAGAATTGTTACCAAATACCAAAAAGAACGGGTTTTTTGGGCTCCACCGCGATTCGAACGCGCTGTGTACTTGGTTAGCGTTTGTATATTTTTAGTCCTCGGAACAACGCAGAACTTACGGGCCTCCTGCAGCTTTGAATGAAGAACCCAAAGCAGGAATCATACCACTAGACCATAGAGCCGGTTTTAGGGTTTGTGCTTGACCATGTCGACTATATTGTGAAGCCGCTTACAACTTTGGTCATCCAGGGCTCCCGGACCCTTACTTTTGAAGCCTCAGGCAGCAATTTTCGAGTAGAAGCCCCCGGAAGCAAGTACTTTCCAAACATTGAGTTCGCGGTTCCACAACAAGCGTTCTTTCGAGTTAACTCCGATAAATCAAGGGTTGATCAGAACTTCTGATTGAGTGAATACGTCAGAAAGAGACCCGCCTTGCCAAGAGTCAGGGGGCGTATCCCTTTACGAAATAGGCTAGACAGGCGGCGTATTCGCTCATCTCACTTCACTTCACTTCAGTCCGGCTGTGGGAAACAACCACTCTCATCGCCTGCTTCGGGTTAAAATATCAGCTCGACAATATGCAGTACATGAATTGCAAGAGCATGATACCATTTGAGCAAAGCTGTAAACTGATTATCAATTGAGCTTTTGGCGGTCGTGTATAACGTAACCCTCCAGCTCCCAAAGCACGCAGCAATCCTCACCGGTAGTCTTTCAATGCTCAGCCCTCTTGGAAGGTATATCCATCACAGACGCGAGTAAACACGAGCAGAGTCTTGGCTTACCATAATACTGACCGCGCCCTTCGATGCGTATTCCTCATAGTTTGTAGTAAGCAATTTGGAATGTATACTCAAGCCACAAGATCTAGCACTGCCCTCTTACCACCTAAACTATCCAACTTATATAAAACTTCATCGAACATGTCTTTCCTTCTCTCCCACTAATCTATACATTCAACCTTCAATCCCTTCAAAAACCTCTGTACTCAACTTTCCGCTCTTAATTCACCCTGAATCTTCTTCTTGTTATCTAATACGTCAAACACATCACATTCAATATCGATAATCCCCTCAACAGTCCCTTTTACTATACATCTCATCCATATCTCTCCAAAAAAAATATCACCATGGGCTTCTTCAAAGCATCCAGTCTAAGCAAGGAATGCGACAAAGCAGCTCAAATACTCAAGAGCTTTATTGGTGCGCGGCCTCCTCTTACTATTCTTTTATAATCGCAATTAACACGTCTCCAGATAAAGGCAAAATCCCCCACGAAGCCATAGTAAACGCTCAAGGCCTCGCCATCTTCACCGGTTTCCGAGCAGGAATGTACCTCGCCGGTGCCGGTGGATCCGGCGTCGTCGTTGCACGCCTCCCCAATGGAACATGGTCACCACCCTCCGCCTTTTCCGTCCGCTCCGGAAGTTTCGGTCTCGTCTACGGTGTAGACGTTTATGATTGTGTATGCGTGCTCAATACCCAAGAAGCTGTAAATGCGTACACGAAATCAGAAGTCAATATGGGTGGTGCGGTGTCACTTGCTGCAGGACCATTGAGTATACCTACCAATGTCAAGGATGTGAAACCAGTTTGGGTGTATACCAAATCAAAAGGTTTCTATGGGGGGTTGACAGTGGATGGGACGGTTATTAGTGAGAGAGCGGATGCTAATGAGGCGTTCTATGGTGGTAAGGTGTCTAGTGAGCAGATTTTGAGGGGTGAGGTTCGCAATCAAGAGGATGTTAAGAAATGGCCTCTGGGTGCGACGAAATTGACTGAGACGTTGAAGTTGGCGGAGGGGAAGAAAGCGGATGATAATGTGCTTCAGGGGATTAGCAATGAGCCTACGCCTGGGGATTTTAAGGAATAGTTGCTCCAAGAAGGGATTTCAGACTGATGGCCTTGTAGTATCTTATTTCCCTTTTGCCTTGTTTTCTCGACACCATAGATTACTGTTTCTTGCGCGTCTTTAGTTCAATACCACTTTTTCGCCTTTATTCAGTCTCTGTCATTCAGATACCATCATTTCAAACGCTACTAGTTATAACACTGCAGTATGCGGTATGATTCCAGTCACGTTTCTGTATGTTCTCAATTTATCAGCTTCAAAAAATCGCAGTAAAAATTGCGCCACCCACCTGCGGGAAACAATCATGAGCCTAAGTCTCAATACTATCAACCTTTCACTTTCCTAAACAGCTCAATTCAAGCAGAGAAGAACCGCACATGCGTCTTTCCAACCCTAATCATCTACCATCTCATTCCCAATTCGGAAACCACCTAACACACCCCAAACATACCTCCTCCATTACATCCGCCCCACCTCACCCACACCCACAACCCCCCCGTTCACTATGCTCCCACTCATGTACCGCACCCCTCACAATCTCCTCCACATTCTCCTTCCTCAACCCCAACCTCTCCCTCACCCATCCCTCCTCCTCCTCTGCTCTCGAACCCCCAGCATCCCCACCAAAAACAATACTCCTCTCCAAAAGCACCCACGCCGCATCAGGAAACCCCCTCTCCAACCTCCTTCCCGCTTCCGCCACCAAATCATCCACGTTCGAATAGCTAACCACCCATTCCTTACCCATAACCCTTTCAAGACACCCCACCAGTTCTTTTGCAGAAGTACTACATCCATTAACATCGAGATAACTATTTCTGACATGATTCCAACACTCAAGCACAGAAGCAACGATATCGCCGACTCTTCTCAGGGAAGTCACAGGAAAGATGTCCCCGCCATTACCAGCTAGTGTCGCGGATTGCCATTTCAGATTGAAACCTAGGGAGCCGGATAGGAGGGTTTGATCGAGGATTGTACCTACTGAGAGGGCGATGTACTCGATTTTATTCTCGGTCTGCAGCTTTTCAATGTAAGTCAAAATGGATGCGCGTGTCTTGTACGCTGGTAAGCGTTCCTGTACAGTGGTATTGCGTGTATCGTACCCATATTCATTAGGGATGAACCTTTTCACGCCTGTTGCGATAGAGGCGTTGATGATGCGTGTTTGCAGATCAAGATCTCCAGGTCGAAGAGTTGATATTACGACATCCTTCCCAAGTAAGGCGTTGGAAAGAGAATCTGCGGTGAAGTTGGTGGTTTTGTGAGTTATATCTGAAACTGCTACATCATGGGGTAGATATGGCTCCTGGTGCTCATATGTCAGAACTGTGATTTTGTATCTGCGAGTCCGGCTTAATGCAGCGATGATAGTTCGTGAAAGATATTGGTTCTGGGAAGTAGGACTAGTAAGTATACGAGTCTCCCCTCATCAAGATCATATTACTCACACCAATGATCAGAACATTTTCGATGCGAGACGGATTCCCTGCATCACCCATATTGCTAAGCCTTGAAAAACCTCAAAACAGAATAAGCTCAGTTACTCCATGTATTGTCTCGATATCGTTTACCAAACAGCTCGCACAGCGGGAGAGGAGGTGATATAATTTCTCCAATATTAACTCAAGATATGATGGCCTCTTCGTTAAGATCAAAGAGACGTAGTTCCAGGCTCGTGTGGGTAAAAGGAGCTCCTGACGCTAGCTGACTCAACGTCATTCCAAAAGCTCCCTCAGACCGAAACGGCCAATCTTAATTGTTCGCCTTGTTGAAGGAAGAGAAACAAAACCTTGTAAGATGGAGCGATGAAAGGAGGGAGGACAAGGGAAATATTGGAAGATGATAAATGCAAGAGGCGAGAGGCATAAACCCACACCGCCGCGAAATGTGTTTCGTATTAGTCGCTCTAATAGGAGCTATCAGCCAACGCAAAAGGAGAGGCAACCAACAGCGAAAGTGGTATCAAAGTATATCCAAGCCCCGCGGCACCGCCAAACAAAAACTCCCCAACGTAAGGAACGCCCTAATAAATCGGCCTCGACTCCTCCCACTTCCTCGTCTCCACCATCTCCTTCCCCCCACCACCACCTTTCCTCTTCACCTCCGGCACAGTACTATACTCCGTAAGCGGACTATTATTCCCAGCAGCACCCATACTATATCTGCCTCCTCCACCACTGACTCTCCTATCCGCACTCCCAAAAACAATATCCTCCCCAACGGGCGCAACCGCCCCAGTCCACTCCCACACTCTACTAACATCCCCAAATCTCCCCTCCCGAACCGCAGGTCTAACATTCATATTCCCCTCCACCTTCCCCTTCACCCTCTCCCAAATCTTATTCCTCCTCTTCGCACTAAACTCATCCCTCAATACATCATCCCTCAAGTGTCCCATACTAAGAAACCCCTCTGGATAAGCCCCCGAATCAGCAGCATGAAGCGCCGCCTGAGTATGTAACCTATCCAGTGCGAAAGAAGCGAGTTTTTTCGCTTTTTCTTCAGTGATGCGGTTGTAGGTTATGGTGTAGCGGGTGTAGATTCCTGTGAGGGTGAGGAGGAGGAGAGTTATAATTGGCCAAATATAGCGGACCAGCGCGTGTCGGATGGATTGCCTGATGGCGCAGGTGAGGGATGTTTTTGCGAGGGATGTGCTTCGGAGGGTGCGTCTGTGGCTGTTGGCTCTGGGGGTGGGGGGAGTCTAATTAGTCAACAGAGTTCTAGGATGTTTGAATGGAAACGGGGAAATAATATCAAACTTACCCGTCGATATTTGATTCTATTTCCTCACGTTGGAGGATTTCACCTATAGCGCCTTCCCAAAGTTGATCAAAGGCCTCTTGCGACATTTTCTTGCGGCGCATGGCTGACATGGTCTCTTTGAGCTCTTCTTCGGGAATGGCAGGGGAGGCGGGAGGTTTGCCGTCTTCTTCTAGCGGTTCGCTACATTCGAACTTGGCATTGCGGTCTCGCAACTCGTCAATGGCGCGATTCGCGACTGCAACGACCCGTTGTGCTTTCTCGGAATCTGGCTCGCAGGTGGGAGGTAGAGGAACAAGTCCGCCGAGCGAAAGTGGGTGGGGTTTGAGAATAAAGTCAGTGTCGCATGAAGCTCCTAGATTTTGATGGCAGTAAGCGTGGGGTGGACATGGTTCGCATTGTGGTCGCACGACTTCAGCCCAGTCTGGTATGACTACTCCACCTAATTCACCAGATGCAGCCTTGCCAATACCACAAAAGCCAACGTCTAGCTTCTCTTGTCGCCAGAGGTACGAGCATCCAGCTAGCATTACTCCAATCATTGATAGAGGAGCAATCTTAATAAGAG